ACACAAATGACAAAACAGCTAGATACATGCTGTTACGTTAAGAAAAGTATCTCCAAAATCTGAGACACTATCTAGTCTCCTATCACAATACCTACATAATGTATATGTATTGACCTGCCCAGTAAGGAATGTCTGTGTGTTTTAAGGGTGGAGCTAACCAGTTAACCCAAATAATTATCATGACGTGCATGTTCCTGTAATCTACAGAAAATCGACCCTCAGTTGGACGAGTTCTTCCAGACGCTCCGGAGGAAAGTGAAGATCGGCATTGTGGGAGGGTCGGACTACTCCAAGATAGCTGAGCAGCTCGGGGACGATGGTGAGTCCTCTTCCTCTTCCTGTCTGAACCATGTTTACACTGCAGGCTGTATCAGTCACCCGGATGGATGACAATGCATGACCTCACAATTTTTATTGTAACTTCTTCACACAAGTCAACAAAGTGTGTAACAAAGAATAGTTTGTTTAACTCATCATGATTGTATTGTTGATTTCAACAGACTGCAGGGGAGCCATAGTTAAATAAAGGAACATATTGTCTAATTAGTGCAAACTTCTGTATGTAGCAGTTACAATAGTTTGGCTTATTGAATGCTAATGTATCTGCAGAATTCTTGACATGTTTAATGTGTTTCTTCAGTGGTTTGGTTTATTTTTGTTTAATAATCTGGTAATAACTGCAGCCCCAACAACCTCACTGCTGAGTAGACAGAAGGAAGACTTGTTTATCTGTACATATTGTGGCACAACTGGGATGCACAACTACTGTGTCAAGAGGGAGCCATGTGGTTTCATATGTTTGCCAACGGTGAATCTTGTATGTATTCTTCATGATGCACACATCGCAGCAGATGATGTCGTAGCTGCTGGAGAATGTGATGAATTAGACATGCTGATATTTTTTGTATAACTTCCACGTCATGTGACCTAGTGGCAATAGTTTAATTATCACGGTACCTAATGAAGCTGTTCAGGAAGTTTTACTATGACATTATTACATACATCTGGCAGTTATTTTATTATAAGCTTTAAGATGATTACATTGTTCTGGTTAAAGCTGTACAATGAAAGGTTCAGTGACCAAGCATTGACTGAGTTATTCCTGCAGAGTGTTGCAGTGCACTTCCAGGCCAAAGTGAATAGGTGTTACATACTCTTTAATCTGCCCCCAGGTAAATATAGCAGGCCTAGTTTCCCTTATTCAGATTTAGCGGAAGAGCCACTCGTAATTTAATTGAGAGTGCAGGTTATTAAAAACCAGGCGAGCCCTTTAAACCACATTTCATTTGTCTCTTCTCTTGCAGTGGTGGACAAGTTCGACTATGTGTTTGCTGAGAACGGGACGGTGCAATACAAGGACGGGAAACTCCTCTCAAAGCACGTGAGTAAACAGTCCCATTTTACTTGTTGCAACGTCAGCTTGTATGCAACATGTTACCTGTAACTACTAAAGAGGAAGAAATGAACGAGTGCATTTGTATCCCATCAGGCCATTCAGAACCAGCTTGGGGAGGAGCTGCTGCAGGATCTGATCAACTTCTGCCTCAGCTACATGGGGCTCATCAAGCTGCCAAAGAAAAGGTGAGCAGCAAAGCCTCAGGTGGACACACACACACACACACACACACACACACACACACACACACACACACACACACACACACACACACAACTGCATTCTTTGTATCCCTAATCATCAATAGCATCTTAAAGTAGAAAAAGACTTACCTCACATTGTGACGCCAGCATGGGAATAAAGCTAAAACAAAACCTCCTATGGGAATTAA